TTCGTGAATCTGGCCCCAGGTTCGTAAGTGCTTGCGTAACATCTTCGTGAACCTGGCCCCAGGTTCGTAAGTGCTTGCGTAACATCTTCGTGAATCTGGCCCCAGTTCGTAAGTGCTTGCGTAACATCTTCGTGAATCTGGCCCCAGGTTAGTAAGTACTTGAGTAGCTGCTTCGTGAATCTGGCCCCAGGTTCGTAAGTGCTTGCGTAACTGCTTCGTGAACCGGGTTGGCCCCGGGTTGGGAGCGTGGTTAAGCCGTACAGTGCGCCGCTCCGTCAAGGGCGTTCAGTTACCTGGGAAAAAAAAAGAGAAGAGAAAATGTCAATAGTGGTTCCTTTAGAAATGACAGATGCCAAGTTGCTTCTTGACTTGTGTAGCAGTGTGTGCGTGTGTGTGTGTGTGTGTGTGTGTGTGTGTGTGTGTGTGTGTGTGTGTGTGTGTGTGTGTGTGTGTGTGTGTGTGTGTGTGTGTGTGTGTGTGTGTGTGTGTGTGTGTGTGTGTGTGTTTACTAGTTGTGTTTTTGCGGGGGTTGAGCTTTGCTCTTTCGGCCCGCCTCTCAACTGTCAATCAACTGTTTACTAACTACTTTTTTTTTTTTCCCACACCACACACACCCACTCCAGGAAGCAGCCCGTGACAGCTGACTAACTCCCAGGTACCTATTTACTGCTAGGTAACAGGGGCACTTAGGGTGAAAGAAACTTTGCCCATTTGTTTCTGCCTCGTGCGGGAATCGAACCCGCGCCACAGAATTACGAGTCCTGCGTGCTATCCACCAGGCTACGAGGCCCCTGTGTGTGTGTGTGTGTGTGTGTGTGTGTGTGTGTGTGTGTGTGTGTGTGTGTGTGTGTGTGTGTGTGTGTGTGTGTGTGGTGTGTGTGTGCGTGTTAGTATTTAGCATACTGGTTGTGCACGCGCATAATTAAGAGTAATTACACACACACATGTAATTAAGTATCCCCCAAAGAGATAACTAATAATATATTTTTTAAACCATTTAGTTTCAAGAAAACTAAACCCCTTGAGTGTACAGAGGTTATCTTGAGGTTATCTTGAGATAATTTCAGGGCTTAGCGTCCCCGCGGCCCGGTCCTCGACCAGGCCTCCTTTTTGTTACACATCCCCAGGAAGCAGTCCGTAGCAGCTGTCTAACTCCCAGGTACCTATTTACTGCTAGGTGAACAGGGAGCATCAGGGTGAAAGAAACTCTGCCCATTTGTATCCGCCTTCACCGGGGATCGAACCCGGAACCTCAGGACTACGAATCCCAAGCGCTGTCCACTCAGCCGTCAGAGACTTTAAAATTTCGTGCACAGATGCAGACAGAATATCCAACAAAGTAGAGGAATTGTTGCAACAAATAACTATAGTGAATACTTAAAAAACAAGAGAATGAAATAGCATCTCAAGCTAAACAATATCTCAATAAACTTGCAGTCATAACACAGGGAAAATTTCAGTAAAAATTACGTGATGAAGAGAATGAGCTTCAGGAGAAAGAGTAATGTCAACGAGATACAAAATATACCAATCATCAGCTTCTCAATCTTCCTAAAGTCACATGAAGCATTTCTATATTTACACTTGATTACTGACCCTAGCTACACCTGGTGTCATTTCCTGCCCAACCACACCAATTAAATTTAAATTTCATACCTTGTCTCCTTCCTCGGTGGATTATATAGTTAAGCCACACAGCCTAGCGCCGAAGATACGGCTGTCCGCCCTTGCTAGAGCGGACAGGACTGGTTTCCCGCCTTGCAAGAGCGGACAGGCCTAGTTTCCAGCCCTTGCAAGGGCGGACAGGACTGGTTTCCAGCCCTTGCAAGGGCGGACAGGACTGGTTTCCAGCCCTTGCAAGAGCGGACAGGCCTGGTTTCCAGCCCTTGCAAGGGCGGACAGGACTGGTTTTCCAGCCCTTGCAAGGGCGGACAGGACTGGTTTCCCGCCTTGCAAGGGCGGACAGGACTGGTTTCCCAACTTGCAAGGGCGGACAGGACTGGTTTCTCGCCCTTGCTGGTGTCCACGGGAAGGGCAGACAGGCCTAGTTTCCAGCCCTTGCTGGTGTCCACGGGAAGGGCGGACAGGCCTAGTTTCCAGCCCTTGCTGGTGTCCACGGGAAGGGCGGACAGGCCTAGTTTCCAGCCCTTGCAAGGGCGGACAGAACTGGTTTCCAGCCCTTGCAAGTGCAGACAGGCCTAGTTTCCCGCCCTTGCTGGTGTCCACGGGAAGGGCGGACAGGCCTAGTTCCCGCCCTTGCAAGGGCGGTCAGGCCTGGTTCCCGACAGGACTGATTTCCCGCCCTTACTGGTGTCCGCCCTTGCTGGTGTCCACGGGAAGGGCGGGCAGCCCTGGCGTCCACTCTTCCTGTAACTGGGTCAACATCTCCCCTTCCTCTGACCCACTTTTCTCTCTGCTGACATAGCTAATAGTGGACATTACGGCTGACAGCTTTGGAGCCTTCGCTTGGGTAGTGAGCCTCCCTGTGGGACTGGCTCCTCCCTGACAGCGGGTCTCTGACCACTTGTGACAATTTCAGTGGCATTGCTCTTAGTGTCCAGATAACATGATACAGGGATCTTGGGATAATCTTGAGATGATATCGGGGGCTTAGCGTCCCGGCGGCCCGGTTCTCGACCAGGCCTCCAAAATCGTTCTGCTATCTTTAACTAGTGTCAGTGTTTGGTCTAATCGTTATCGTATTATTTGTTGCTATATAACATATACCTAAGGAACCAGGGGCCAGATTCACGAAGCAGTTACGCCAGCACTTACGAACCTGGGGCCAGATTCACGAAGTAGTTACGCAAGCACTTACGAGCCTGTCCATCTTTTCTCAATCTTTGGCGGCTTTGTTTACAATTATTAAACAATTAATGAGCTCCGAAGCACCAGGAGGCTGTTTATAACAATAACAACAGTTGATTGGCAAGTTTTCATGCTTGTAAACTGTTTAATAAATGTAACCAAAGCCGTTAAAGATTGAGGGAAAGATGTACACGTTCGTAAGTGCTTGCGTAACTGCTTCGTGAATCTGGCCCCACGTTCGTAAGTGCTTGCGTAACTGCTTCGTGAATCCGGGTCCAGCATATTTCGTGAGAGAATCTTAAGAACATTTTATCATACGTTGACTGAAAGTGATTTGCAAGTGGGTTTTGTAGGAGAAATATATGAAATTGTACATGCAAATACATTGTATTTTAAGATCCTAAAAGGGGTACCAGCTCTGGTGCACGTGCAGGACCCATAGCCTCGGGGAAAAAACAAAGAGTACTCAGAGATCTTGTGGGTCCTCACTGAACACTTTGATATTTTCTTCTCCTACCACCCCAATATTTTTATATATATATATATATATATATATATATATATATATATATATATATGTTGTACCTAGTAGCAAGAACGTCGTACTCGGCCTACTATGCAAGGCCCGATTTGCCTAATAAGCCAAGTTTTCCTGAATTAATATATTTTCTCTATTTTTTTTCTTATGAAATAATAAAGCTACCCATTTCATTATGTATGATGTAAATTTATTTTTATTGGAGTTAAAATTAACGTAGATATGTGACCGAACCTAACCGACCCTACCTAACCTAACCTAACCTATCTCTATAGGTTAGGTTAGGTTAGGTACCTGAAAAAGTTAGGTTAGGTTAGGTTAGGTAGGTTAAGTAATCGAAAAACAATTAATTCATGAAAACTTGGCTTATTAGGCAAATCGGGCCTTGCATAGTAGGCTGAGAAGTGTGTTCTGGCTACTAGGTATGACATATTATATATATATATATATATATATTATATATATATATATATATATATATATATATATATAATATTATATATATATATATATATATATATATATATAAACGCTAATGCAATATACATAGGCTTTGCAAAAGCTTTGCAAAGTCTACACAAACTTTGCACACAGAAATAACACTACATGAGGCCAGAAGGCATGGCAGGATGTGCAGAATACCCCCGTTGAAGAGCAGAGGTGCAATAGGTACTCTGAGAGAGAACTCTATCAACATCAGAGGCCCGAGACTGTTCAACACGCTTCCACTACACATAAGGGACATAACTGGCCGACCCCTCACAGTGTTCAAGAGAGAACTATCAACATCAGAGGCCCGAGACTGTTCAACACGCTTCCACTACACATAAGGGACATAACTGGCCGACCCCTCACAGTGTTCAAGAGAGAACTATCAACATCAGAGGCCCGAGACTGTTCAACACGCTTCCACTACACATAAGGGACATAACTGGCCGACCCCTCACAGTGTTCAAGAGAGAACTATCAACATCAGAGGTCCGAGACTGTTCAACACGCTTCCACTACACATAAGGGACATAACTGGCCGACCCCTCACAGTGTTCAAGAGAGAACTATCAACATCAGAGGTCCGAGACTGTTCAACACGCTTCCACTACACATAAGGGACATAACTGGCCGACCCCTCACAGTGTTCAAGAGAGAACTTGATAAACACCTCCAAAGGATACCTGATCAACCTGGCTGTGTTTCATCCGTTAGGCGCGTCCAACAGCCTGGTTGACCAGTCCAGCAACCAGGAGGCCTGGTCGAGGACCGGGCCGCTGGGACGTTGATCCTCGGAATCATCATTAGGTAACCAGTTAAGGTATTAATCATATAAATCAATAATATATATTATTATATATAAAACTTGTCTCTTATATCCCCAGCTGACATATTTATCGCCATATTATTGCCCTCAGTCGCCTTATTTCTTGTGAAATAATAAGAAGGTTGTGTTTGGTCGTGGACACTGACAACTTTCAGAAGGCTAATTGGGCCTCCCTGTTCCCCTGACCTTCACTGCCTCGGCCCCTGGCGTTAGGGACGGTCCCATCCCGCCCCCCTTCACCCCCCTGCGGGAGCCAGACAACCTCACTAACTCAAGATTAGCCGCCTGAACACACACAGGCTTATCGCGACAATTAATGACACCGTCTCTTATCTCCAGCAGCGTGCCACGCCCAAAAGTTTACCCCCTCAACTCCAGCAGCAGCAGCAGAAGCAGAAACAGCGGTAGAAGCAGCAGAAACAGCGGTAGAAGCAGCAGAAACAGCGGTAGAAGCAGCAGAAACAGCGGTAGAAGCAGCAGAAACAGCGGTATAATCAGCAGAAACATCAGCAGAAGCAGCAGAAACAGCGGTAGAAGCAGCAGAAACAGCGGTAGAAGCAGCAGAAACATCAGCCTAAGCAGCAGAAACAGCGGTAAAGCAGCAGAAACAGCGTAGAAGCAGCAGAAACATCAGCATAAGCAGCAGAAACAGCGGTAGAAAGCATGAGTAGCGGCAGAAACAGCAGCAGAAGCGCAGAAACAGCGGTAGAAGCAGCAGAAACAGCAGCATAAGCAGCAGAAACACAGCGGTAGAAGCAGCAGAAACAGCGGTAGAAGCAGCAGAAACATCAGCAGAAGCAGCAGAAACAGCGGTAGAAAGCATGAGTAGCGGCAGAAACAGCAGCAGAAGCAGCAGAAACAGCGGTAGAAAGCAGCATAAACAGCAGCAAAGCAGCAGAAACAGCAGCAGAAGCAGCAGAAACAGCGGCAGAAGCATGAGTAGCGGCAGAAACAGCAGCAGAAACAGCGGTAGAAGCATGAGTAGCGGCAGAAACAGCAGCAGAAACATCATCCACAGCGACGAAGGTTCGCGAACACCCACAAATACTCGCCCCTGTCCAAACACCGTGGCCGGGAGAGTAAGACTCGGAGACAAGGAGTTGGGACACACACAAGATCAAATAAACAGCAAACATGAGTCGAACTTTCCCTTGTGATGAACAAACATGACTCACTACACCACCCGGCCTCGACTCGAACGTTCACCATACTTTCTCACCATCACAGTGAGAACATTGAACATATGCCCTTCACAAGTGAACAAAAGAACAGGAAATACTGACAATTAGATGCGAAAGTAGAATGTTAAAAGTTTTAAAAGGCAAGAAAACATTCTTACGTTAAGAATGTTAAAGAACATTTAAAAACATATTATGTTCAAGAGAGTTCAAATTCACCATTCTTCAGTTCAAAGAATGGCCCAGGGGCCTGACGGCTGAGTGGACAGCGCTCGGGATTCATAGTCCTAAGATTCCGGGTTCGATCCCCGGTGGAGGCGGAAACAAATGGACATAGCTTCTTTCAACCCTGATGCTTCCCCTGTTCACCTAGCCGTAAATAGGTACCTGGGAGTAAGACAGCTGCTACGGGCTGCTGCTTCCCTGGGGATGTGTAAGAGAGAAGAGAGAGAGAGAGAGAGAGAAGAGAGGAGAGAGAGAGAGAGAGAGAGAGAGAGAGGGAGAGAGAGAGAGAGAGGAGAGAGAAGATGGAGAGAGATGAGAGATGAGGAGAGTGAGAGAGAGAGAGAGGAGAGAGAGAGGGATGAGAGGAGAGGAGAGTAGATGAGAGTGTTCGAAGAGAGAGAGATTGAGAGAAGGAGCGAGAGAGAGAGAGAGAGAGAGAGAGAGAGAGAGATGAGAGAGATAGAGGAGAGTGAGAGAGAGGGACTGGGGAACAGTTAGCGACGAGAGGAGAGGACCGACGAAGCGATTAAGCTTTAGAAGGACTGACCAGCGCGAGGACGAGAGAGAGAGAGAGACCATCGGGAGATCTGGAGGGGAGAGGAGAGAGAGGAGAGAGAGAGAGAGAGGCAGAGAGTGACCAGCCAGTGAGAGAGGGGGAGATGCGGCGAGAGAGAGAGTTTGATCTGGCGAGAGGGGGAGGACAGAGCAGGAGAGGAGAGAGAGACGAGAGAGTCACTGACGTGGAGAGAGAGACTGTGAGAGACGGAGCGAGAGAGAGAGGAGAGAGCAGAGAGAGATGAGAGAGAGAGTTAGGGCCCCCCCTGGGGGAACAAAGTTACCTGTTCGTCCAGACTGGAAGTCCCAGTTAACTTTTACTTTAAGGCAACTCATCCAGCGCCCAGATGCTATCACTTGCCCTCCTGCTGTGGTCTGCCAGTGTGCCTCCTCCCACACACTCTCCCACACTCCCACACACTCCCACGACCAGCCAGTCTCTCTCCCACGACGCCTCCAGTCGTCTGTGGCAGCCAGTTGCCTGTCGAAGCCGTCGATTGGCAGGACCAGTCTCCCTTAGAGCTGAGCAGTCACTACTGGTAGTGTGGTGGGGGTGTTGGGGGATTGAGCCCGAGGCGGTGTTGTGAGCCCTCACGTCTACGGTCATGTATCCTGCCTGGTGGTGTTCTCTTGATTTATTACTTAATACTTAATGTTTATGTCTGCCCTGGCTCTCTCTCTCTCTCTCTCTCTCTCTCTCTCTCTCTCTCTCTCTCTCTCTCTCTCTCTCTCTCTCTCTCTCTCTCTCTCTCTCTCTCTCTGTCTCTCTCTCTCTCTCTCTCTCTCTCTCTCTCTCTCTCTCTCTACCCCCTCACCAGAGTCCCAACCTCAAGACAGATATTAGGCACCCATACAACATTTCCCATAATCGCACTTAGAATCATTTACAACCAAGTATCCCGCGAGAGAACACACACACACCAGTTGATTGACGGTTGAGAGGCGGGACCAGAGAGCCAGAGCTCAACCCCCGCAAGCACAAGAGATGTGCTTGATGGCTAATCATGCCTACCAAGAGTTTATGCCTGAACTGTAGATAGGAGGAAGATAATCCTGGATTCTGTCCTGCTTTATTTGCTATTTGTCCGGGTAAGTTGGGGTTTATGGGTGTTCTGTCCACCGGACAATATGCAAATTACCCGTCCAGGCCACGCTGCTGGGTCCACCTCTGTCCATGGGCATCGCTTGGCTCCCGTCCAGATGCCTTACTGTTGCTATCTGTCTAACACCCGACGTGTTTGGGTTTCTGCTCCTATAGACGTGACTCTCTGTCTGTGGTTACCTGGTTATTGACGCTAGTTAATGGTTGTTTAGAGTCTTCTATGGTCGTGTGTGTGTGTGTGTGTGTGTGTGTGTGTGTGTGTGTGTGTGTGTGTGTGTGTGTGTGTGTGTGTGTATGTGTGTGTGTGTGTGCTCACCTAGTTGTGCTTGCGGGGGTTGAGCTCGGGCTCTTTAGTCCCGCCTCTGAACCGTCAATCAACAGGTGTACATGTTCCTGAGCCTATTGGGCTCTATCATATCTACACTTGAAACTGTGTATGGAGTCAGCCTCCACCACATTACTTCCTAATGCATTCCATTTGTCAACCACTCTGACACTAAAAAAGTTCTTTCTAATATCTCTGTGGCTCATTTGGGCACTCAGTTTCCACCTGTGTCCCCTTGTGCCTGTGCCCCTTGTGTTAAATAGCCTGTCTTTATCTACCCTATCAATTCCCTTCAGAATCTTGAATGTGGTGATCATGTCCTCCCTAACTCTTCTGTCTTCCAGTGTGTGTGTGTGTGTGTGTGTGTGTGTACTCACCTAATTGTGTTGCGGGGGTTGAGCTCTGGCTCTTTGGTCCCGCCTCTCAACCGTCTTTAGTGGCTGAACTTCGCCTGGAGAATATAGACCACAGCTACAGCGATATCTTCAGTTTGTAATATATGCCTACGGCTATCATATTAACTCGTGGATGATGTAGCTGTTTCGTAATCATTAGATACACAATATGTCCGTCACTGCGTGGAATAACATCAAATATGTAATTAATTCGTATGTAATTCGTGAATACACTTCTGGATGAAATATTCGTAAATCCTTATCCTCTCGGACGTAAGTTCGAATCCTCGTCACGGCCCTTGTGGATTTATTCATTGCATGCATCACGTTATTGTGATTTCTGGGTGTAAATCCTTACCATTAGGATTAAATATTCATAAATCCTTATCCTCTCGGACGTAAGTTCGAATCCTCGTCACGGCCCTTGTGGATTTATTCATTTGATGCATCAGGCTATTGTGATTTCTGGGTGTAAATCCTAACCATTACCTATGGGTAATATCTGCGTAAAATGGTATTCAGTAAATGTAGTATTAATGTGAGAACGTTTTATACACTGAGGAAGATGCGGTCGTTAATGAGTCAACTCATCAACTAATTTACATCTCACGGGACGCTAATTGGGACCATTCAGAGGACTCATCAATGAGCTCTTCACTACTGCCAATCCTCGAGGCACTAAGCTGCAGCTAATTCTGATTTGTATCCACTAAATTAATAAACTTCTTCCTGAATTTGGATACAAACATTCTAACACGAGACATCAACAGGATGATCCTTCATATAGAATCTATAAAATGTTTATTAGTAGATGTAGAATTCAGTTATAGGTCTACACATCTACACATATAATCTACTTTCGTATATCAACATTAAATTAGGGCAAGGACTAATTTACATATGCAGACGAGGAGTCACAATAACGTGGCTGAAATATGTTGACCAGACCACACACTAGAAGGTGTAGGGACGACGACGACGTTTCGGTCCGTCCTGGACCATTCTCAAGTCGATTGTGAGAATGGTCTAGGACGGACCGAAACGTCGTCGCCCTCCCTTCACTTTCTAGTGTGTGGTTTGGTCAGTAAATTTACATACTTTCTGAGAGGCAAGACATTAAGAAGCTCACTTGAGATCAATAATAAAAAAAGTGCTTATCTGGTTTAAATTGAGATCTTTTAAGCGTAGGATTAATTGGTTAGGTTCTAACTCCCTTTATCAGGGGACTTGATCTTGGTTCCTTAATTAGGGTTATGTGAATGCTGTAGCGAAATGAGAATGGTCTTTAGTACACCCTTGAACGAAAGTACAACTCCTAAGTATCAGTTTAGGAGCTGGTACACACTTTTGTACCAGCTCTCACGTTGATATCACAGATATCAACGTGGTAGCTGAACCACACCTCCACGATAGCACAAGACCTGGACACAGTGATAATCTAGCGTGTGTCTAGGGTATTAAAGAAGCTAAATGGTAAATTAGTTTAGATCATCATTCAGCTCATGTCTTCCCCACACACTGTCTCCTGGTCTCCTTCCTGGGGGTGGTAGGTAGGTAGTGGTGGTGGTGGTGGTAGGTGGGTAGTGGTGGTTGTAGGTGGTGGTTGGGGACGTACCTTACCTATCAGTACTTATCACTAGTGGTGGTGGTTCATGCAGTGGTAGGTGGATGGTGGTGATGAAAGAGGGCTGAATGAATGGGTGAGAGGTTGGTAGAGGTGGTTGATGATGGTGGTAGTGAAGGCAGTGGTTGGTAGAGGTATAGGCCAGCCCAGCAACAAGCAAGAAAACCGAGTCATGCATTGGTTAGTCATCACAACCTCTAAGATCACAGACTTTTCCCTTACCAAAACCCCGCCATGAATTAGACTAATAGTCCCCCCCCCCCCCGCCAGGAGACAGGGCCCCACGCCTCCTGGGGGCCCCGAAGCCTCCAGAGGGCCCCCCCCCATGCCAAGTTCAATTCAGGAAACTTAAAAAAATGTTAATTGATCCAGAGTGGTTCATCATCTGTGCCCATGACGGCTACATGGAGAGGCCGGAGGAGAGGATCTTGGCTCTAGAGGCCTCCAGACCTCTCAGTGTTGTGACTACCGACCTCCTGTGCTAAGAGAGGTATCTTTCACGGTGATCACCTCTGGGGAAGTACCCAACAAGGGTAATCCCTCCGTGTCATCTGGGTGACATGAATGACTTTTGTCATCAATGTTAACTAATACAACACCTTTAAGTCTTTCTAACATTATTAACAAGTACTTTATTTTGGTTTTACACGGCTGGGTACAGAAACTGACGCCTCTTGTTGTTGTTGCTGTTTAAGATTCGCTACTTGGAACAAAAAGTTCCAAGCAGCACGGGCTATGGTGATCCCGTAGCCCACTCTGACGGCTGCTGTCTCTTCTTGACTACCTGTCGTTGCTTCCGGGGGTCACCTTCCCCAAGCGGCCCGGTCTCTGACCAGGTCTTCAGGTTGGTGAGCTCGTCTACCAGACGGTTGGCCGAGCGGACAGCACGCTGGACTTGTGATCCTGTGGTCCCGGGTTCGATCCCAGGCGCCGGCGAGAAACAATGGGCAGAGTTTCTTTCACCCTATGCCCCCTGTTACCTAGCAGTAAAATAGGTACCTGGGAGTTAGTCAGCTGTCACGGGCTGCTTCGTGGGGGGTGAAGGCCTGGTCGAGGACCGGGCCGCGGGGACACTAAAGCCCCGAAATCATCTCAAGATAACCTCAAGATACCAGACGGAGAACTTTCCCCTTCCCACAGCTCAAGGTAAGCCTTACCCTACTGGCTACCCCTGGAACACAACTTGCCCAATCGCTTTACACTCGCGACCCCAACTGCTTGCTGGGTTAACAGAGGCCAATAGTTAAGGCTTGGTTCCCAGTCAATCCTTCCACGGTTTTGATATATGGGAGTGTATTAAGTGTGCTGATTGTGCTCACGCGAGTGTAATTACCTAAGTGTAATTACCTATGTGTAATTACCTAAGTGTAATTACCTAAGTGTAATTACCTAAGTGTAATTACCTATGTGTAATTACCTAAGTGTAATTACCTATGTGTAATTACCTAAGTGTAATTACCTATGTGTAATTACCTAAGTGTAATTACCTAAGTGTAATTACCTATGTGTAATTACCTAAGTGTAATTACCTAAGTGTAATTACCTAAGTGTAATTACCTATGTGTAATTACCTAAGTGTAATTACCTATGTGTAATTACCTATGTGTAATTACCTAAGTGTAGTTACAGGATGAGAGCAACGCTCGTGGTGTCCCGTCTTCCCAGTACTCTTTGTCGTATAACGCTTTGAAACTACTGACGGTCTTGGCCTCCACCACCTTCTCACCTAACTTGTTCCAACCGTCTGCCACTCTGTAAAAGAAAACTTCCTGATGTTTTTCTCGGTATCTCTGTTTCTTTAACTAGAATCTAAGACTTCTTATTCTCAAAGTTGTTGTTTCAAGAATTTATCGGTCAATTTTGTCTTCTGTTACTATCTTGTAGGTAGTGATCATGTCCCCTCTTTTCCTCTATCAGCCTCTCCTCGTAGCTCTTGTTGTTCAGTTCTGGGAGCCATTTAGTGGCATGTCTTGGCACCTTTTGCAGAGTAATGATGGGGTTCTTGAGATATTGGCACCACACATGTGGCGCCTTACCCTTTGGCACCACACAACACCAACATATTCTAGTTTCAATGTCACAAAAGTCGTGAACAATTTCTTTAATATTTCACTATCCATGTATATAAAATCTATTTAAGTTGCAGTCGAGGAGTCACAATAACGTGGCTGAAATATGTTGACCAGACCACACACTAGAAAGTGAAGGGACGACGACGTTTCGGTCCGTCCTGGACCATTCTCAAGTTGATTGTGTTCATTCACAATCGATTGGACCGTCCTGGACCATTCACAATCGCCTTGAGAATGGTCCAGGACGGACCGAAATGTTGTTGTCCCTTCATTTTCTAGTGTGTGGTCTGGTCAACTATTTAAGGTCAGAAAGCGTAGCATAGGCTCCTGGTAGGCCGTCTTCCGAGTGGTCCTCTGGTGATAGTTCACTACCTAGAACCACCTCTAAACCTCTTTCTTGGTCAGAATTCTTTAAACTCTCTTTTCACATAATCTATAGGTTGTGTGTGGCCTATTTTCTCCCATTCTGCATTCCATAACATGGCATTTATCCACATTGAATTCCATCAGCCATGTGTTGCTCCATATACTTTATCCAGACCGATATAATTCATATAATTCCATATTCTTTCTGATAGAGTGTTCTTAAGAGACAATAAACATTCCTAGTGGTGTAAGGGAACCTTGTGATACTCCACCAGAATCATTTTCTCCTGTCAGATACCATCTTCGGGCTCACCATAGCCCGTGATACTTGGAACTTTTTGCTCCAAGTAGCGAATCTTAAACAACAACATCCAATCAGATCCATTACTTCTGATTAACACCCTCATTAGTCACTCAGAAAACTGAGTGACTAATATATATATATATATATATATATATATATATATATATATATATATATATATATATATATATATATGTTATGTTTGTCAACAGGACTTTACAAGTGCATGTTACTGGAGTCACTCCTGTAAGTTCCTCATTTACTATCATATAAACTAAGTAATTTTATTATACAGGATCTTCCCGTCATTATACAGGATCTTCCCGTCATCATACAGGATCTTCCCGTCATCATACAGGATCTTCCCGTCATTATACAGGATCTTGCTGTCATTATACAGGATCTTCCTGTCATTATACAGGATCTTCCCGTCATTATACAGGATCTTCCCGTCATTATACAGGATCTTCCCGTCATCATACAGGATCTTCCCGTCATTATACAGGATCTTCCCGTCATTATACAGGATCTTGCTGTCATTATACAGGATCTTCCTGTCATTATACAGGATCTTCCCGTCATTATACAGGATCTTCCTGTCATTATACAGGATCTTCCTGTCATTATACAGGATCTTCCCGTCATTATACAGGATCTTGCTGTCATTATACAGGATCTTCCTGTCATTATACAGGATCTTCCCGTCATTATACAGTATCTTCCCGTCATTATACAGGATCTTCCCGTCATCATACAGGATCTTCCCGTCATTATACAGGATCTTCCCGTCATTATACTGGATCTTCCCGTCATTATACAGGATCTTCCCGTCATTATACAGGATCTTCCCGTCATTATACAGGATCTTCCCATTATACAGGGTCTTCCCGTCATTATACAGGATCTTCCCGTCATCATACAGGATCTTCCCGTCATTATACAGGTTCTTCCCGTCATTATATAGGATCTTCCCGTCATTATACAGGATCTTCCCGTCATTATACAGGATCTTCCCGTCATTATACTGGATCTTCCCGTCATTATATAGGATCTTCCCGTCATTATACAGGATCTTCCTGTCATTATACAGGATCTTCCCGTCATTATACAGGATCTTCCCGTCATTATACAGGATCTTCCCGTCATTATACAGGATCTTCCCGTCATTATACAGGATCTTCCTGTCATTATACAGGATCTTCCCGTCATTATACAGGATCTTCCCGTCATTATACAGGATCTTCCCGTCATTATACAGGATATTCCCGTCATTATACAGGATCTTCCCGTCATTATACAAGATCTTCCCGTCATTATACAAGATCTTCCCGTCATTATACAGGATCTTCCCGTCATTATACAGGATCTTCCCGTCATTATACAGGATCTTCCCGTCATTATACAGGATCTTCCCGTCATTATACAGGATCTTCCCGTCATTATACAGGATCTTCCCGTCATTATACAGGATCTTCCCGTCATTATACAGGATCTTCCCGTCATTATACAGGATCTTCCTGTCATTATACAGGATCTTCCCGAGACTCCTGTACATAAAGATGGCTGAAAAATTAACTGAAGTGGAATGCTTAGGTCGGCTGTACATTCTTTCAGACCCCTTCCAAGTGCTATATAGTCATGGTGGTTTGGCGCTTTCCCCCTGATAGTTCCCTTCCCCCTGTGTGTGTGTGTGTGTGTGTGTGTGTGTGTGTGTGTGTGTGTGTGTGTGTGTGTGTGTGTGTGTGTGTGTGTGTGTGTGTGTGTGTGTGTGTGTGTGGCCCTCCCCACATCGTCTCTCTCTCTCTCAAGGGCGACCCTCGAGTCGCCCTTGAAAGATGAGAGAGATGTAGCAGCAGGGATGGAGAAGTTTGAGGAGGAAGTAGAAGAGGAGGAGAGGAAGGAAGGGAGGGAGAGAGAGGGGGGAAAGAGAACGAATGAGAGGAGAAAGAGGGGCCAAAAAAAATAGGTGCAATAGACGGAAGAAATTTAAAACCTAGCTCGAGTGACGGGATAAAGTCCCCCCCCCCCCCCTATTACTCCATCCCCTCATCCCTTACTCCATTCCCCCATCCCTTACCCCAACCCCCAATCCCCTATTTCCTACCCCTCCCCCACTAAGCCTCTGACACCTCAATACTTTCATCCAACCTACACTTTAAATCCCCTATTTTTCCCCCCTGTTCATAAATATTATTAATTTACGTAGAACCATTAATGCTGATAGTTTTATCAAGGGCTTTACCGCGCTGGAAAATGCTTAAGGTAGAGTGTGTGTAACTTTAGTTTACCAAGGTTTACCTCTTATGTTAAGGGGTCGTGTAAGCGAGGTTAAGAGGGGGATGCAGTGTACAATGTTGCAAAGATTATCACCGAGTTTTCCTCTTTGTTTTTTTTTCGTTGTGAAAATATTGTGGAACACGCGGTGTTTATATGGATTTTTATGCTTCGAGAAAAGTAGAAGAAAAATACATCGCCAGTGAAGTGTATTGTGTTTGCTGGCGTTTTAGGAGGGCTGTTTTAGGTAGGCTGCAGTAAGTGTATGCGGCCAGCATGCAGTGAGTGTATGTAGCCAGCAAGGGTGTGTACAAGATCCTGGGGCCAGACTCACGAAAGCACTTACGCAAGCACTTACGAACGTGTACATCTTTCCTTAATCTTTGACGGCTTGGGTTACATCTATTAAACAGTTTACAAGCATGAAAACTTGCCAATCAACTGTTGTTATTGTTATGAACAGCCTCCT